GGGCAGTGCCATGTGGAGACATCCGCCAGTGTCGCTGTAGCCCCCTTAGGGCCCACTTTGTATCGCTCTCTGTGGAAAGCCTGCCAGCCTCTGTCAGCATCTGGGCCGTGCAGCCACGCCGGCCACGGCCCCTTTCCCTGACTTTAGCCTCCACATCCCTGTGGGTCAGCCCCTGTCCCGGGGTTCACTTGCCTGGACTGTGTGTCTCAAAGTGGAGGGGCTGGGTTGGAACCCATGAGGTCAGGCGCCCAAGCCCTGCTCTGGCTGCTGGGTTCCCCACCCCTCGTATCTGGGACCCTCCCCCCAAAGAAAAGTCCAGGAACCCTGAGCTTCTGCTTGGGACGCAGTTTTCAGGTAAGAGCTCAGATGGTTGCAGCCACTGGGCATTTTCTTAGGACTTTCCCTCGTATGCCATCACATGGAATGAGCAGGTGGACGTGCCACAGGCACCTGTGGACAGAGGAGGCTCAGTGAGGCACTGGCAGGCACCCTCGCTAGGGTGTCAGGGCCCCCAGCCCCCTCGCAGCTCCGAGCATCCAGGCCATGTCTGCGTTGGCACGGCGGGCACTCCTAGCCCATGGCAATGGTTCTCCCCCCTACCTGGCTCTGCAAAAAAGTGCAGTCAGGTGACCAGAAGGGGTGAGTTCAGCCTGGGTCCTTTCAGTCTTCCTCTTGCGGTTGATGGTGCTGACAGATGCCCCTCCTGGTGCCAGGCCCTGAGAGCGAGTTCTGGGGCCCAGTGCCCACCGTCGGTCTCCCCCGGGCTGCTTATCTCTGGCCTTCCTTAGGCCAGCGGGCCAGCAGTCTGGGATTGGGTGGGATGGACCTGTTACAGGTCTTGTGCCTCGGCCACAAAGTGAGGAGGTGCCCACAGGTCCTTACCCTCTGTTGCTTGGAAGTCCCAGGTGCCTGTGTGCCCAGTGGAGGAGGATGCCCTGGGCCTGCGGAGGTCTGTCCCCCAGGAGAGACCTGCGGTGACAGCCATGCTTTGTCTTTCAGTACAAGGTCCTGTCTGTCCTCCCGGGTTCAGGCATGGGGATTGCTGTTTCCACGCCATCAACCCAGAAAGTAAGTGCCGGGCAGGGGCCGCCAAGGGGTCGGTGTGGGCCCAGGGGCCTGGCTCTGAGCAACCCTGGGACCAGCATGGGGCAGACAGCCGGCGTTTCAGTTTGGGCAGCAGGCCACAAAGCCGCCCCTCCCTCGCAGCAGCTGGAGCCTGGGGCTGCGTCCAGGTTGGGGTGGAATCTTGCTGGGGCATAGAGTCCCGGGACAGGGGTCCCGTCTCAGTGACTCAGGAGGAGGGAGGCGCGGGCCTGGAGCCTGGCTCCCCTCTGCCGCTTGGCTCCGTTTTCCTGAAGGCTGGGAGCCTGGCGAGCTGGTTGGTGGGGGGACATCTGTCTTTTGCACCCAGACCCATGTGACTGTGTGCTGGCCTGGCCTGGGCTGGTCTTGGACTTCATCTTGGTCCTGGTCCTGGCACCAGCCTGGCTGTGCCCCTCTCACTGCTGGCATTTCTTCCCTGCCAGCCACTCGTGTTTGGTGCCATGGTGCACAGGGACGAGGCCTTCGAGACCATTTTCAGCCAGTACATCAAGATCACCTCAGCGGCAGCATCCGGCGGTGACAGCTAGTATTGACTTGCCCGGGACGTTGCTGGAATTTTTTTTTTAAACAATTTGGTAGTGGAAACAATTGGACATCCTCATGAGCTTTTGCAATAATTCTCCTGGACCTGTGGTTCTATTGTGTTGACCTCTGCGTTTCATTGACCACGAAGGGGCCAGGGCTCGCAGGGATGGGGGTGTCCCTCTCCCATGGGGCACATCAGGTGCCTCTGAGGGACACCTATGGACTGGGGGGGGCAGAGGCCCTCGGGGGCCCGTGGAGAGGACGTACAGGACCCCGGGCCCTGCCCTTCTCCATTCCAGCCTGTACAGAGAAACCTCTCTGGCCGCCCCAAGAGGCTCTTGCAACCTTGTGTCCTGCTCTCCAGAGGCCGGAAGCTCGTCCACCACAAAAGCCATAGCTGAGTAGTGCAGGGCCCCTTCCCCTGGGGACAGGAAGATGTCCTCTTGGAGGGACATGGGGGCGCTTCACCAACCACCGAGACGGGCCTGGCAGTCCTCCTTCCCCTTCCACAAGACCATCCTGCAGTGTTTGTGCTGGGCGCCGGGTCAGGGCCGGGCACAGCGTCCTTGCCTGTGCTCTACACTCGCTCCGTGGGAGTAGGAGGGTGAGACGGGCCCTCCCCTTGCCCGCCCTTGGTGTCTTCCGTGGCGCTTTCCTCACCAGCCTCCAGGGCGCTCAGCCCCTCATCAGTGAGGGCGCCTGCCACTCTAGGCCTGACGCACCGGCCAGGAGGTCTGTGGTGGGTGACCAGGAAGGGCACAGGATGGCGTGCAGGAAAAAGCACATCTTTCTCACACTTGGCTCTTTGGAAGGCCCAGGAGAACATCCGAAGGCCGCTGGGGTGCTCTGAGCACTGCGGCTTGTCCGGCCCGTGGCCTCTAGGCTGCGGCTGCCTGGATTGGTGAGGGGAGGGGGCCAGCAGCAGTGTTCCGGGTCCGTGGTGGCCCAGGCTGCAGCCACCTTTGGGCAGTGGCAGCGGCTCGGGCAGCTCCTGTGCTTTAGGGAGCACCTGTGAGCCGACCCCAGAGGCCTGGGCCTGCACTGCCTGCAGCTGAGGCGACAGTCTTCCCTCCCCTGCGTGCCTAGTCAGTGCCAGTCCGGCACAGACCTCTCCCAGCCCCCGCCCCGCCCCGGGGAAGCCTGCGCTTCCTGGGAACAAGGTGGCATTTGTGGAGGGAGCGCCCTGCAGGCCTGGTTTGCTGGGGCCTCCTGCACTGGGCTGAAGGGAGGGAAAGGAGGCCTGGGCCTCGTGGACGGAGGTGGCTTGCGCGTCTGCTGGGGTGGATTCCGCAGCCCCCTCAGCTTGTCCCTTGGGTGTCGTTGAGATTGTTGTTTTTTGAAGAAACAGAAGATTATATTTTTTACAGAGAGCAAGCTGTTTTTCTTATTTTTATATCATTTTTCAGATGTAATTTTTACCTTTGCTCCAATCCTCATTTGCGGGTGTAGGTGAGGGATCTGGGGGCACGGGCTGGTTTCACCTGCTTCCTGGGGGCTGCAGGTCACACGCCGGTGCCGGGGTGCTTTGCAGGGAGCCGCGCCGACCACCAGATTAAGCACACGTCCCATCCAGGGCAGCAGAACCCCCTCGGCTCTAGGCTGCACAGACGTCGGCGTCCAGGTGACGAATGGGGGCAGAACCCACTCTGAGCCATGGGTCTGGCCCCTCGAGGGGTGCACCAGGGGAGGGTGCCCACCTCAGTGAACCCCACCTCGCTGCCTGAGGCAACAAAGCCACACAGGGTGGGTGCTGACCCACCCCAGGGGTGGCTGTAGGGGCAGTGCTACAGGCCATGTCACACCCTTCTTCCCTGGGCTGGGCTGGGCAGTGCCTGAGGGTGGGTCCAGGGGCTGGGGCCAGTGAGCGCCTCTTCCTAGGTGCTGGGATTCTGTCCCCAAACGCAGCAGGAGGGCTCCCTGGGGCAGATGGGGCTTCTTTACCAGAGTCGTGTGGTTTAGTTTGAGTCCCTTTTGTGGAGAAAGGGAGATGAAAACTGACCACCTGCTGGGTGTGGCCGCAGACCTCCAGGGAGGGCCAGCTGCTGGAAGCGGGGAGAGAGGGGGGCCATGGCTGCCGGCACAGGCCCCTCCCTGGAGGTCCTCTGGAGCAGAACTCAGACCGGCGCGGGCTCTGGGCTCCCCGTTGAGAGAAGCTGTAGTTTTTACCAAATTGTGTACATCTGGGCAGATGTTTAATTTCTATGACTAATCACTGAACTAGATGAATGTTAAATTTTTTATGTCTGAAGCCTGAGTCTATTTTGGATCTGTAAATAATCATTGCCAGTGTGACTTTTGTTCAACAAAAGGATTGTACTGTATTAAGAACTGATGAAAAAAATTCCCCTGTAACATTTTTTAAAGAAAACTTTGTTTGTTTAAAGAAGAAGTCTTGTATAAATTATAATTTTTATTTAAATAAACCTAAAATGCTTTGTGCTAAGGCTCAGGGCTGTCCACCTCCTTGGCAGGGCCACATGAATTGTAGGTGGCCAGACCCAGCTGGGCCACCAACCCCAGGCCCTCAGTGTCCCTGCCAGCCCGCCGCTCCCCGGGGCCCCACGGCTGCTGGCTACAGGGTGTTCAGGTACTGACACGGCCTGGGCGACACTGTGGGGTGACGTGGGCTGAGCGGCAGAGTCCTGTCGGACGTGGGCATCGGACGCTGGCAGCAGGAGGCAGGACTCAAGTTCCAGAAGACAGGAGACCAGGTGGCGAGGGGCGAGGCCTGCAGGGCAGGGTGCGGTGGGGGAGGTGGAGGCAGGCAGCGCCTTGGGGTCAGGGTGCAGCCTCTGGCCCCACTCCACTGTGGTGTCCCACCTGCCTGGGGGTCCTAGATGGGGGGTTCCCAGCAGCACTTGGGGCTTGGTCTGTCCAGATGCTGATATGGGACACAGAAGGGTGCAAGGACCTGCCTGGCTTTTGAAACCCCTGGAGTTGAGTATAGGCCTTTGCCAGGTACATGTGGTGGTGCCTAGTCTCCTGTGCCTCAAGCCCACAGGAGCCCCCTAGGAGGCAGAGAGCTCCCCAGCTTACACAGGGAGGGAACTGGAGCCAGGCGGAAACCAGGTCTAGTGGGCCACTCCACCCTAAGGGGTGCAGCCTCAGAGAGTAGGACATATACATACTCCATTGACACAGGCAGCCCGCAACTGATCTACCTACACATCCACCCACCCACCCACCCATCCATTCATCCATCCATCCATCCATCCATCCACCCACCCACCCATCCATTCATCCATGCATCCATCCACCCATCCATCCATCCATTTATCCATCCACCCACCCACCCATCCACCCATCCATCCATCCATCCATCCACCGACCCACCCATCCATCCATTCATCCATCCATCCACCCACCCATCGGTCCATCCATTTATCTATCCATCTGTCCGTCCATCCATCCATCCACCCCATCTACCCACTCCGCCAGCCATATTTAGCAGGCCCTGTCCTTGGTGCTGGGACACAGCAGTAATGAGATAGGAACCCAGCAAACACACCATCATATCCTTCCCAGAACACATCCATGCTGTGGTACCCACTGACCCCTTCCACCTACCCCTCTGTCCTCTTTGCAACAGGTCCTCCCCCTGCTTGCCCCTAACTTGGAACAAGGGTCAGACCTACCTAACCTGTCGGCAGCCCACACAGACCCCTCCACACAGACGGGGCTCAGTGTGGGCCCGTGGCAGGTGTCACTGGAGCTGGGCCATGAAGGAGGTGGAGGGGCCTGCCAAGGGCTTCCGAGCGCTCAACCCACCCACAGCCCACACTCTCTATGCTTAAAACTGACAACTTACCTGTCGCGTATATTTCATCATTTAGTGTCAGTAAAGGTGCCTACATTACCTCTATCACCATTTCACGAGTGATTGTGATAACTATTTCAGTACAGTTGGTTTCCTTGGCAATCCTACATGTTTTAATGCGTGCATTTTACATTATTCAGGGACATCTCTTAGCTGCACCTGGCTACCAGATGGGCTGTGAAGCAAAGGAAAGGTCACACACCTGTGGGGCAGGCCTGGTGCCCTCTAGGACTTCTATTCTGGGGTGACGGGGTGCTGCAGAGCTTCCAGCAGAAGCTGGCACTCTGTCTGCAAATCAGAAGAGGAGTTACCCTGTAATCCCAGCACTTTGGGAGGCCTAAGCGGGCGGATCATGAGGTCAAAAGATCGAGACCATCCTGGCCAATATGGTGAAACCCCGTCTCTACTAAAAATACAAAAAAATTAGCTGGGTGTGGTGGCGCGCGGCTGTAGTCCCAGCTACTCGGGAGGTTGAGGCAGGAGACTTGCTTGAACCCGGGAGGCGGAGGTTGCAGTGAGCCGAGGTCACGCCACTGCACTCCAGCCTGGTGCCTGGTGAGGGAGTGAGGCTCTGTCTCAAAAAAAAAAAAAAAGAAGAGGAGTTACCCAGCATAGGGGTGCGTCAGGGACAGAGCCCAGAGGAATGAAAGTGTTGATGATTTTATTCTTGGACCAGGGGCTCTCTTCATAGGTACTTGCTATGTGTTTTTAAATATTTAGTGGATGAATTTAATGAATAAATGAGTAAATCAGAGAGGGCCACACGTGGATCAAAGTGAGCAATGCTGGGAAACCAGGGTTGTGGTCTTTTCTGCATGCCCTGCAGAACTCCAGGAGGCAGCAGACTCTAAGGGATTATGTTATGAGCTCCAGATCATGGGGGCTGGAGGACAGGGTGCGCCAGAGACTATAGGAGCCACAGACTAAGGGCACAGCCAAGGAAGGACTCCAAGACCCTTTCCTCAGTGGGCATGAGCTGGGAAAGCCACCCGGGGAAAGGGCTACAGGCTGCAGCCATCCAGCGCTAAAATCCAAAATCTGCCCTCAAAACCTCTGGAACCAGGAAGCCCAGCTCTGCCCTCCTCTAGGGGCCCTCGGGTTCACGTCAGCTGGAAGGGAGATACCTGGGATCACAGAGGGGCAGCTGGGGTGGGGCCAGAGCCAAGAGGCAGTGATGGGCAGCTGGCCCACTCCCTCAGACAGGAGCTGGCCCAGGCCCCCGCCACCTCTCTGCCCAAACTACTGGACGTCACAGCTGGCATTGAAAGCCAGGGAAATGGCTGGACAGTACACAGTTGTAAAGAAGACCCTCAGGTGTTACTATTTGTAAATGGTATGGTGGTGACAGAAAACCCCCAAATTCACAGGGAAATTGTCTTAATACGAGTGTGGAAGTTTCTGGTACAAAATAGAGTCAAAAGGGGAGGCCGTGAGGAAGCCCTCTCGGGCCTGCCTGTAACAGGACTCACCCGGGAGTGTCTCAGGACTGCAAGTTCCGGATCCCCCACTGGCATGAGGGCGCCCACCTGTGCACCCACCCAGTGATGGCCACTCCAACAGTGAACAGCCCTGCCTCCTGCCATGAATTGCGTGACCTGTGAACTTCGTTCTAGAGCAGCTCACGTGGACTTCTTTGCCTTTTAAAGTGTGGCCTTTATCCCAAACACCCCCCAGAATGCCTACCGGCATGGCACACATATCCCGACTGCAGTCCCCTTGCTGTTCCCAAATAAACTCTTAGGAGAGCTCTTTGATGTCACTTTGGGTTGACAGGAGGCAAGGTATCTGGATATAACACAATGCATAAAAATAATTGCAGCAGGCAGATCATGAGGTCAGTAGTTCAAGACCAGCCTGGCCAACATGGTGAAACCCGTCTCCACTAAAGATACAAAAATTAGCTGGGCATGGTGGTGAGTGCCTGTAATCCCAGCTACTCAGGAGGCTGAAGCAGGAGAATCGCTTGAACCTGGGAGGTGGAGGTTGCAGACAGCCAGGATCTCGCCACTGCACTCCAGCCTGGGCAACAGTGAGACTCTGTCTCAAAAAAAAAAAAAAATTGCATTTATATTTACATTTTTAGGCAAAAAAGAACAGAAATTTTAAGATAGCCTCAAAGGCCAGGTGTGGTGTCTCATGCCTGTAATCCCAACACTTCGGGAGGCCAAGATGGGAGCATCACTTGAGGTCAGGAGTTCTGAGTACAGGCTGGGCAACATAGTGAGACCCTGTCTCTACAAAATATTTAAAAAAAAAAAAAAAGCCTCAAAATATGAACTTTTGGCTGGGCATGGTAGCTCACTCCTGTAATCCCAGAACTTTGGAAGGCTGTTGGAAGTGGATGCTCGGTGCTGCAAAGAAAAATTAGCACGGAGATAAAGGATCTTTCAGCAATGTAATTTTTACCTCCTGGACTGCAGGAAGGGGACCCTCACCAGCCATCTTGCCATGAGAGTACAAAGAACAAAGGAAAACACACACGTTTATCCCTTACGCATTTGGGGTCGTCCTTACTGCTGTGTCTGATCTCCGTTGGCTGGAGCCAGACCTCACAATCTAAACTAAAACCCGATTGGCTAACAACTTAACACTTTTCTAAACAGGTAAAAGCAGTACAGAGCCGGGACATGCCTGTGAGCACGTCCAGCACAGATGTCTTGGTCAAAGTACAAGGACACAGAATGGACTACGTGCCTGTGAGCATGGCGTGTCTAACAGCTATAGAGGATAGGGCTTCACAAAGTTATTAGCACACTTATTCTGTAAGAAAGGAAATTTTAAAAAGGAACTTTTCTCCTTCCCACAGATGGCGTTTCACCATGTTGGCCAGGCTGGTCTTGAACTCCTGACCTCAGGTGATCCACACACCTCAGCCTCCCAAAGTGATGGAATTACAGGCGTGAGCCACTGTGCCTGGCCCTCAGTTTATGTTTTTGTGTACTTGTGGAAGATCAGTTGGCTGTAAGTATTTGGCTTTATTTCTGGGTTCTCTATTCTGTTCTATCGGTTTATGTATCTACGTTGATACCAGTAGACACTGCCTCGATACTGTCTTGATTACTACAGCCTTATAGCATAATTTTAAGTTAAGTAACGTGATGCCTTCAGATTTGTTTTTTGCTTAGGATTGCTTTGGCTATTCGGGTTCTTTTTTGATGCCATATGAATTTTAAGATTTTTTTTCTAATTCTATGAAGAATGATATTGGTATTTTGATTGGAACTGCAGTGACTCTGTAGATTGCTTTGGGCAGTATGGTCACTTTCACAGTATTGATTGTTCTAATCCATGAACATGGGATGTATTTCCGTGTGTTTTTGTCATCTATGATTTCTTTCAGCAGTGTTTTATTGTTCTCTTTGTAGAGATATCTCACCTCCTTGGTTAAGTATATTCCTATGCATTTTACTTTTTGTATGTAGGTACTGTAAAAGGGATTGAGTTTGAACTCCTGACTTCAGGTGATCCGTCTACCCTGGCCTCCCAGAGTGCTGGGACTATAGGCGTGGGCCAACCTGGTGAAATCCGATCTCTACCAAAAATACAAAAATTAGCTGGGCATGGTGGCAGGCACCTGTAATTGCAGCTACTTGTGAGGCTGAGGTAGGAGAATCACTTGAACCCAGGAGGTG